AGCCACAGTATCACCACAACGAAAAGTGACATCTTTCCTGTAGTATTCATGGGAACCAGTGTTCAGGAACAAACCTAAAGGATATTTTCAAGTTTCTGACTACCCTAGAAACACCGCCCTTCGAAAGTATTTCAGCAAAGAAAAGATTTCTGAAGAAAGCTGTCAGGTTCTTTGTGCAGAATGGAAGAATGTATAAGAGAATGCAGGCTAGACCGCCCTATTAGTAGTTTTTGATCCAGAAAGCGTGCGACTATCCTGAATCAGGCACATGAAGAACTTGGACATAGAGGAGAAGCTGCCACCTGGGAGACAATTCAGCTTAGGTTTTTCTGGCCCTACTTATTTTCAGATGTACGGCATCATGTACAATCATGTCACCCCTGTCAGATACGAAGCACTACAAAGATGCACATTCCTATCACAGTATCTACTCCATCCACAATCTTTGTGAAAGTATACATTGATATCATGCACATGCCTCCAGCTCAAGGATTCAAGTATATTGTACTAGCTAGAGATGATTTATCACGCTATGTAGAAGGACGACCTCTTAAGGCACCTACTGCCAAGGCCCTTAGCAAGTTTTTCTGGGAAGATCTTTATTGTAGATACGGTGCCCTCGGACAAGTTACCACAGATAATGGACCAGAAGTACAGGGAGCATTTTCAGCCCTTATGAAAAGAGTAAATATCCCACATATCACCATCTCGCCCTATAATTCTCAGGCTAACGGAGTAGTTGAAAGAGGTCATTTCATATTTAGAAGCACTAGTGAAAGCATGTAATGACAACCTCACACAATGGCCCTCAGAAGATTCCCCAAACCTTATTTGCAGATCGTGTCACCACAAGCCGAGTGACTGGATTCTCTGCTTTCTATCTAGTTCATGGAGTTCACCCAGTATTGCCCTTTGACTTAGCAGAAGCTACATTCATGGTTGATGGATTTACAAGCGGAATGACATCAGTTGAGTTACTAGCACTGAGAATAAGACAGTTGGAAAGACGACCCGAGGACTTAGAACAAGCAGCTGGAAACACTGAAGAATGCTCGGTTCAAATCAAAAGAGCAGTTTGAAAGGAGATACTCAAAGCGATTAGACGGGAGGCATATCAGACAGGAGATCTAGTACTTGTACGTAACACCCGAATAGAAAAGGAACTGAACCGAAAGACAAAACCCCGCTATCTCGGCCCATATAAAGTAGAACGGAGAACTCAGGGAGGATCATATGTACTAAGTGAAATGGATGGAACAATATCCCGCCGCGGAGTTGCTGCATTTAGACTTTTACCATATATAACAAGAAACTCCCAGCAACTGCGAACACTTTCCCAGGGAATTGAAGAAGCTGAGGAAGAACATTTTACCCCTGACCCTTGATGGAAGCCAATTATTCCCTACAGCAGCTAAAACTTGGCATCGCCAAGCTCGTATTAACCTACGTCAAATTACAGTCATATGGGTAGGCCATGTACTGGAAAAACATACACAACTAGAAGGAAGTGGGGACATTTTTGTTGGAACCTGGAAATGCATATCTTACAGACCCATTAAACTCGGAAGAACGGGATACATTACCAAATTACCCTAACTGGATTTGCTCAATTTGCGCTACCTTAGAACAACGGGCCCCAGAACGCCGATGTTACGACTGGGGTATGTCGAGCTGTCTTAGTCCGAGTGGACTGAGTTTCGGCGAGACAGACGTGGTTCTTCTCTCGAGTGAGAGGTCAGAGGTTTCTGGCTAAGGCAAGTATCGGCGACTTCCTTAGAATGATGGTTCTTAGATAGCAAGGTTGGAGACCTTGCTAAAGGACTTGTTCCAGGTAAAACCCAGTAGATTAAAGTGAAGAAATACATGTGGTACACTATGTAACTATATAGCGTAGTTCAAGCGGAGCTTGTAAGTACGTATCAAGATAGAAGGCGGACAGCCCGCTTGGTAAGTGATAACAGATAAGCGATAAGAAGATAGTAACCATGGTGCGGACAGCCCGCTTTGATAAGAGATAGTGAGCTAAACATAGTGATGGTTACTGGTACGGAAGGTTAGTTGGCGATGATATGTGTGAGGTTCTGGAAGGTAATTGGTCGCTCGTTAAGGGCTGTATGCATGTACCATTGTCCGGTATCGAAAGAGAAGCGAAGAGAATGAATGTACCGTAACATTACCCCCGTGTTATGGTCGATGTCACCGGCATCGACATCACTAGTCGTCCTGGTTGGCGTAGTAGATGGGGTCGGCGTCGGCATTCTGGAACTCTAGTTCCTCCGGCTGTGCCAAATATTCTCTATCAGCACGCGCGAGATCTTCTTCCTCTCTCTTATCTTTCTCTTCTTCCCACGCAGCTAACGCTTCGTAGAAGCCGTCGTCGGTATAGACCAACGGGAATGGTATTTTGGTGGTGGCGAAGGGGCAGTAGATGGAGAAGTGCCCTGGTTTTGTGTCGCCGCAGACGCGGCAATAGTACAGGGGACAGTTCCTGTGCTTGTGACCAAGCTTCTTGCAGAGTCGGCAAATGAAGTTGGCGTCGGCGATAGTGCCGACTACTTGTCTCAATGAGGGGGTTCTGATTACGATGCTGGAGGTTGGGATAGCGGGGGGGTTCTACGGTGAGGTCGATGACCTCGCGCTTCTTTCCTTTGATGACTTTTTCTTGGTTACGCCGTGAATGGCGGCTCCGCCGCGGAGGTTTCTTCTTTGGACCTCGCTGGGCGCTGGACAGGTACAGGTACCGGTGCAAAGTTCCCTCCAATCGAAGTTGGATCAGGTAGAACAGCGGGGGGATTGTGAGTAATAGGAGGCAACGGGCGGCCGACTTGGAAGGAGTTTCTATTAGCAACAGTCTGTATAATTTCCCTGCAGATAGTGCTAAAACCAAGAGGGAATAGCTGAAGCGTAGCGAGCGGTAAGCGAGCGTATGCGCCGCTGAACGTGGTTGCAGGAGAGTCGGAGGGCGTCGTTTTTGATCTGGGCAAATTCTTCTTCGAGGCGTTGGGTGGCTCTAATGATATGGATATATGTGGCAGCGACTCCTGCTGGTATTGCTGGCTGGTTGTTAAGGTAGGTTCGATTTCGAGGGCGTGGGCGACGGAGAGGATAGGTGGTTTCGACGATGACGTCGTCTTCGATGCTGACGACGTGTCAGCGTAGGGGGATTCGCAGAGGCTGATGGAGGAGGCATTGGATTCAGTGGGAGACGTAGTGGGTTAAGACATTTCTTTGTTGGTATGGACAGGGGGACTGGTCGATTTAGTTCAATTTGTGCCTCTTCTTATAGGCGGAAAGTAGGTCTTCGGCGTTTTCATGTTCTCCGCTGGAATCCATTCGTTACTTCCGGAAGAGTATTCCCTTCCAGGATACGAGATAGCGTCTTCGTTTACCCGTTCCCTTGTGACTCAGGACCGCTTCGACTTCGTATATTCCTCCGATTGGTTGACTATATCCGGGAGGTTGGTTCTTCGTAGTTCGGTCGTGAATCTCTGTCTCTTGATAGTGAGGATTCGTTCGGAAGCATGGACGTGGGGTGAACCCTTCCATTGTTCGGGGAAGTTTCAGGGTGAACGTGATTGGCGATAAGACTGCGGTTATGGGGAACGGTCCGTGCCGTTTGGGCGCAAGCTTCCTAGATGGGAGAGTGGTCATAGATTGGTTGCAAGATAGCCAGACCTTATCTCCTTTTTCCCCGGTTGTGGTACTTCTTTCCGTGCGTCCTTTCTGCATCGTTGTGCATGGCGATATTGTGGCAGGAGATGGCTTCTTCTCTGATCTTTTGGAGGATGCGAACCCTTTCTTCTGCGGCAGGGGTATCCGATGATGGTAGTACGTGAGGAATTACCGCGAGGTTCGTATCCCATCATAAGGAAGAATGGTGATGCGTTTCTTGCTTCGTGTTCTTCGGTGGTTATGCACGAATTCGGCGAGGGGTAAATGGTCTGACCATTCATAGGGGTTACTTCTGCAGTATATCCGGATGGTAGGTTCTATCTCCTGGTTGAGTCGTTCGGTCTGTCCATCGGTCTGAGGGTGATACGCTGTGGAGGCAGCGATCTGATATCCTAGGAGTCGTGCCAATTCTCTAGAGAACTTTGAAACGAACTGGGGACCTCGATCAGAGATTACTTTTTGTGGAAGTCCAAAGAGTCCTGAATACGTTTTTGAAAAATAGCTTAGCTACTCCTTAAGAAGAGAGTTTTTGTTACAAGGAGAAATAATCACCCCCTTCGTAAGGCCATGGTCTACCACGACCATGAGAGAATCAAAACCGTTGGACACGGGGAGGTCAGTGACAATGGTCAACAGAGACCTGAGAGAAGGGGCGAGTGGCAAGAGGAGGGAATGGGTACAAGGGGTGGCGAAACAGGGTGAGTATCAGCTTTCATCTGCTGACAAAGGGCGCAACCAGCGACGTAGGAGCGAATAAAAGTACCCATTGCAGGCCACCAGTAGTCACGCTTGACAAGTTCCTTGGTTTTAAACCGCCAGGGTGACCGGCGGTGGTGGGTGGTCATGGTGACGGAGGGAGAGAGAATGTCCAGTCGCTGCGAAGGCGGGGACATAGGCGCGAGACTTGTAATAAAGGACGCCGTCTGATATCTTCCAGTCAGTGAGTGCCGATTTCATAGGGGGCAAACAAAGCCCATCCAAAGCATCACTGGCAGTGGAAAAAATAGGATCATCCAAGGAGTTCGTGGCAAGGCGGTGGAGAATTCATCGTCGAGTAATCGGATAAACATGGAGTCAGGAAGGAGCACACGATCCTCATTGTCGTTTTCTCAAGACCGTGATCCGGGCGTCGAGAGAGAGCGCATCAGGTGCGTGCGAGAGCTTTGTCCGGGGACGTGGTGTGGTGTAGTTCAAGGTCGTAATTGGAGAGAATAAGCTGCCACGCGCCTGTCTGCGAGAAAGCTTCTGTGCTTTCGAGAA